GCTCTCTTTTTCCCCATGCGAACAATTCACTAAATGAAGTAGGAAACTCATCAAAATGACTTAACTATATACAAGCTAAGGAGAGGAAGGGTGTAGTCGTACGAGAGGTTCTCTTATCAACAAACCTTAACAACGCTTTTGTATAAGGTCAGTACGTTTCTGTCCCGACCATTTAGATTATTGAGTTTATTTCCGTCCCCGTTTCCCGTTGTGTTATGGGGATGATGAACGTTATATAGCCTTAGAAATTTTGTATGCTCTAAATATGTGTTCTTACATTTGTTTTAATCAATACGAAGGTCAGCTAGAAATAAATTAAAGCTTAGCCCTCTATTAATAGGAAGAAAAATAAGTTAAAATCAATGGTTAGATCAATTATTATCATAGTTTTATATTACGATACATAACTAAATGGAATATAGGTAAGAATAGGTTAGATATACATGCATGTACTACTTTATGATTATTACTGATTATGATATAACCTGCAGTTACATAGTACTTGGTAGTAATTAGTGTTAGTGGTTTATTATTAAACATTTTTAGAAGAAGTAATACAGAGTATTCATTTTCGATCAAATCTTATTTGATATATGGACCAATTGATTAGTCAAATTTAGATATTATTAAGTGATAAATGATCTTCTAAAATTTGGCTCGATTAAGTAGGATTAAATGATTCCATGTGTTTAAACTAAGCTGCTATATATATATATATATGAACATGATTTTTTTTATAATAATAATAAAAAAAAATTATTATATGTATAAATATACGCATAAGAAGAAATTACGGAAGTCTCAAAAGTACAACTTTTACACGCATGCACATACGAGGTACATATTACTACACGTATGTCGGTATATGATAGAAGTGGAGTATACATATAGCTATATATATGTAAGTTTATACGTAGACATACTATACATGTAAGTGGGTCTTATTAATGTATTTGTACATAACACACATGCATGTACTAATCAGCTAAAAATAAGCACACCTTATTATTTACAATAGTAGAATTAAACTACCAGGCCATATTGACATGCATGGGATATAGTACGTACGTATAAGTTTTATGTATACATAATTTTCTAATAATAGGCATGCATTGCAAGTGCGTGCAAACCACATACTCCTAACATGCATTGCATGCATTAAATTACTATTTCAGGTTTACGTATGTGTATCCATTGTACAGTAGTATATATATTATAATTCTAATACACATCCATGGCGTATTTATAAGAGTCACTTTTATTAAATTACGTATAGTAGCATGTAAGTATATACGATCTATTAAATACGGAGTATATATTTGGATTCACTTGAAATCCGAAGTAGTAATAGTCAATAGAAAATTAAGGGAAAAACTTTCGTACGTAAACTTAATTAGTATATTTTTCAGCCGGACACAGTTTATATTTATTAGTAATTATGTGTATGGGGATTATATTTTTATAACTACATGAAATATTATCTTTTGTAAATAAATGGGAAGAGGAATGTTTACAAGATGCCTTACTCTTGATCCGGTACTCTGACTAGGATACTCTTGTTCTGTTCAGTGTACTATGTACACTCCTGAAATTCTGTTTAGAGAAAATAGTTCTCTCCTGTTTAGTGTACTATGTACACTCCTGTTCTGTTTAGTGTACTTCGTACACTCCTGAAATATTTTTAGAGCACTATTACTCTCATGTTAAGGTTCGGGTCTCTTCGGTGATTCCGTCCTTTCTGTTCAGCTAGCTTCTGTCAGGAATTGGTACGTGTAGCTCCGGCGATTACGTTTCCATATTCCTTCTGGGTAATGTGGGTACGGACTTCGATCGACCGTATTCCTTACCGTTAGTATTCCTCGGTCTAGGTCCAGATTCTAGAGTTCAAGGCTAAATGAATATCTATTTTTCAATGATAAGTTTCAGAATAAGAATTATCTGGTAATTATGATATCTGAATATGCTTCTGTTCTATACACAAGAAGAATATAATAATTATCTCAGAATAAAATTATCTGATAGTTATGATATCCGAGTATGATTCTATTCTGTATGTAAATATCTGTATTTTTATAACAGCTGCTCGGTTCACCCAGGTATGTTATATGCTTGTCCGATCAGATGTGAATTATGATATGTTAATATGTTCTTTGATATGTTAATATTATTGTTATGTTATTACCGTACCACTCAGCACATTGCTGAGCGGGTAGTTGTGTGTTTTCCTACCCGTAGGTTGAGCACGGAACCCGCTAGGAGCACGAGGATGGAAAGAGGCGTAGGACGCATTGGCATGCCATGTTATTTGGTGTTTGTTTTAATAAAGGACTTTAATATGTCATATGTGATTTTAAAAACTTCCGCTGCACTCCTTGAAGTGTTTTATGATGTTTATGTTATGTCCGTTTTAATAACATTCTACTCCTTGTGAGTTTGACATTTTTTTTGGTATTTAGTAATGAAGTCGTTTTGGAATTAATACACTTTATTATAATTAATAAAATATCTTATTAAATGTTTTGTGTTTAAAAAAAAAGGCATTATTTTACTTGAATCACGAAAAGTATTTTTGATTAAATCCGTTTTGATTTTCCGCCAAGTGACGCGCCACTCGGGTCAGCAGGGCCGGGCCGGGTGGGGTGTTACATAAGGTGGGTACGAGTACTGGCTCGGGGTGGGGAAGGTGAGGGTAGGTGTAAGGTTACACGTACGCGTAGAGGAATGATTAGGGGTTAGGGGGTGGGGGTAGGGTCGGAGTAGGGTTGGTAGAGGTAGGGTAGGGGTAAGAATAAGGAGTAAGGGTAAGCGGTAAGGATAATAGTAAATTCGGAAACTGAAAAAGTTTAAAGTATTGCTTAATCGCTTAATTAATACATGAGGGTGATATGCTTAGTAAACAATAACTTAAGAATCTGTTTGAGTTAATAAACAACTTTTTATGCAGCTTGCATGTTATTCTCGCTCCTAGGGTAAAACCTAGTGCACGTTTTTCTTCCGTTTTCGATTCTTCGATCGAAGAACGGCGTTCCTTTCCATTTTTTATTTTCCGGTCAAAGAACGGTTTGTTTTCTTGGCTTGTGATTAGTTATCAAAATCGCAAAGCTGGTTTTGGGGTTTTGGGAAGGGTTCGAGCTTCGGTATGACTCCGTACACTGGGCACGTCTAGTTCGCTTCGGCCAATAAGGAGAGAAGGGGAGGGCTCGAAGAGGTGGTGTTCCAGGTGGTCAGCGCCGTGATTACAGACCAGAATATCAGTCTTCCGGGGTTCCAAGATCTACTGGCATCCGGTTGGCGCCTGGGGAAATCACTTTGGTGCAACAACAATGATGAAAAAGAGGCGACCGAGTCGGAGGAAAACCGCTTTGGTGCTTTAACAATTGTTGCGAGGGTTCGGCCTCCTCCAGAACCACCTCCAAGAGTTGATCGATGCGATTTGGAGCTTGCTTATTTATCATTTCTGCATTTTAATTTCCATGTTCAGTCGTTTGTGTTTGGTTGTTATTTTATTTTATGCTGTAAGACTCTTGCATTAGGTTTGGGGGATGAGAGGTCTGCGGTAAGCGTCGTTTGCTTTAAATTTCCCAAATTAGGTCTAGTGAGTTATATTGCTTTGTTTTGGGTGATTAACTCAGAGTCTCGCCCAAGGACGGATAGTTACATGTGGTCCTTTCAAGTTCTTGTACTCCTGCCGAATGCTATTTTAATGATATAAGTGCCTTATGATAAAAAAAGCAGCTTGCATGTTCGCTTTGTCTATGTTCCGACCCGGACCCGCTAAGTTAACAATGGATCCGGACCCGACCCGTTTACCCGGCGGTTCTAAAAATTTAGACCCGGACCTAGACCCAACGGGTCGCGGAACTGGGTCAGGTAGATCCACCAAGTATAATATGGACAACATTGATAACTTTGTGAAAATAACATGACCTGCAAATGAAATGCAAAGCAAAGTGCACAAATTTAAAAAACAAAATACATATTCATTTTTAAAAAAGTCAAGATTTCTCAGAAAAAATAGCACTTTTATCTAATAAGTTATCATTTCTTGTAGAGGCGTACAACTCCACAATCTGTATCGCTTTCTCTCGCACAGAAAACTCGTAGAATATACTATTGCGAGTCTAAAAGCATTATACTTCGTATATGATACTGATATATAATAATATTAATATTACTAATATTATATTAGATATTAGGATTTGCCTATCGGTCCCAAAAAACACTTTATCAATGTGTATAAACAGCAAAAATGGGGTGGTGGATGGGGGTGAATGGTTGGATTCTATTTTTTAGTTAGTACGCAACATAGTTTTTTTCAACAACAACATCCAAGCCTTAGTCCCAAACGGCGCAACATAGTTTTTTTTTAAAATAAAAATAAACGGCAAAAATGAGTATTAATTTTAGGGTATCTCACTATCTCGATCAGTATCACTTATACAACATATATTATGTATTAGTGTGTATATTTTTAATTGAAGAATTGCAACGAATAACTCCATGTGTTATTATGTATATATGTGTGTGTATGTGTATATATTAGTTTGTATTTTTTTTATTGAGTTTTACAACCAATCATTTTATGTATTAGCGTGAGTGTCTACCTACTTATAAGAAATTTTAAACGGGTCCGGGTACTTAACAGGTCGGAATCATATATACTATACCCTACCCGTTTATTAAAAATACTAACGAGTTCGGATAAACGGAATAAAATATAGACCCATACCCATTAAAAATAACCGGGTCCGGTTCGGGTTCGGGCCTAGACCCGACCCATTGACAGGACTATCTATGGATATAAAAAACTTTTAAAATATTTTCACGAATTTTATTTTATTTTACAAAAAGTGAAAAAGATTGTACAAAATGAAAATTTCCCAGAATTCATGGGCCTAGTGTACACTGTTCATATATACTTCGTATATATTGGTGTATATAGCGCGCGGTCAAATTAGCTTTTGTGACCATGACAAGCAATATGGTAAAAAAGTGTATGTACTGAAAATAATACGGAGTAACCAGTTAACCACGAGCACAGATAGAGTGGGGAAGGCGACGAGGATCGGAATTTAAGGTGCGGAGAAAGAGGACTCAGTCGAGACGAAACCGGTGACGCGAAGGAAGTAGGGGAGTTAGGGTTCCCGGGGAATCATCGTTGGGTTTCCGGCGAGAGGTACACGACTGCCCTCTCTTCCGGTCTTCGCCAACGACCGCCTTACATAAACTTGGAGACCCAATTTCCCGCTGATTGCCAATAATTGTTCATTCCAAAGGAATTTTTGCAAATCTGGATTAGATTGGGAAATATATTAGATGCGTTAATGGAAACGAATAGTTTGGAGGAACAATGGGAAGAAAGAAATTGAATCTCCATAACTTCTTCTGATTGTAGTTGCACATGGCCAATCCCGATTCTCAACGCCGTTGTGTTTTTGGTTAGTAACTACCTAACCAGTCTTTATCTCTTGATTGATAGGAATACATAAATTGAATGGAAAACGTGTTTTTTTTTTTTATTGTTTAAATTGCATCACTTGGTATACCTTTGTATATCGCTGGAACACATGAAGTTATAATATCGATTAAAGGTACACTTTTTTTAATTCAATTATCTTGGGTGGTGATCTGTAGTTGGAAATATACCTTATGATGCTACTGAAGAACAGCTAGTTCAAATCTGTGAGGAGGTTGGCCCTGTTGTTTCATTCAGGTTAGTTTCCTAGTTGAGATTACTACATTTAGTTTAACAGAAAAACCCAACTTCCCAGATATCAAAGTTGCATATTATAGCTATGGATAAAAGAAAAGTTCGTAACTTTTTTGGATATATGAAAGCAAATCAATTTTTGTTATGTTTGTCCAACAAGAATCAGAAAAAGGCATGGACTTGGCTTTCAAAACCTATAATCTAATAATTGCATTTAGCAATACTTGGACGGGATTTAAATCCTTTATGGTATCAATAAAAGCCTTCTCCCATTATTGGTTCAGGATAAAGAGTTCAATTCCAAAAATTGAATAGCACTGATGATATTATCACTTATCAGTGAGGGCGTGAGTCAAATGTTTGAAGCCTAATATTAGTTTGTTCAAATTATTATGGATTTTCACCCATTAATCAAGGAAATAAGCCAAGGCAGTAGTACAGGGAGTGTTACTTCCTTCGATTTTGATTGGTAGGGAATGCAGAGAGAGGGAGGAATTTTTTTTTTGTTTCTAGTCCCCAAGGCCCTATTTCATCCATCAAATCCATCAAAATCAAATTTTGGAGTGTGGGGTCGGAGTAAAACCGAGTAAAAAACTTTCGCTTCATATAGGACTCTGTTATATTTATTGTCAAATGTATGTATAGAGTGGTATCTCAATTCATAGAACTTTAGTTATTCATTTATTTGTATGATTTGGTGAAATGTTATGACTTTGTGCTCTGTGTTTTGCTTTTGGTCCCTGATAGTATCATCACACAACCATCTTTACATAATTTCTGTATTTTCTCCTCAGATTAGTAACTGACAGAGAAACTGGAAAGCCCAAGGGTTATGGATTTTGTGAATACAAGGATGAGGAAACTGCCCTGAGTGCTCGACGTAATCTGCAGGGATATGAGATAAATGGTCGCCAGTTAAGAGTTGATTTTGCTGAGAATGATAAAAATGCTGACAAAAACCGTGAACAAGTAAGGTGTTTGGTTCATTGGTTCTCCTAAGTCTAAACTTTTAATTGGTTCAGCTCTCAATTATTTTATGACACTGATTTTATGTGGCTATCTGTCCCATGTCACTATTTGTTATGCATTTTTTAACTTTAAGTTTGATGGAATTTTTCTGCGCTTCAGATTTGTTCAGGTACTTGAACCCTCTAGCTTTCTGGAAAAACTGTTTCATTTTGGACTCACAATTTACTATTTTTCCAAATCAGAATGTAGACAGAAAACATTGGCACTATTTACTTCTCTCCAAGTTTTACATTTTACTAATCTTTATTTTTGTAATTTATCACTCAAATCCAATGGGGGTGTTATCAGAATTAAGCATATAATAGTAATGAGAATGGAAGAATTTTCTGTGTATTTCATTGGAGGGTTAAGTCCCTATATATATACATTACAAAGATAGAATATTCCTATAAGATGCTATACAATAATAATATCCTAGAGTATATTCCTAAAATATTCTAAAGCATATTCTAAAGATAGAAGAATATTCTAAAGCATATTATACAGCATATTCCAATGTCTTTCACACTCCCCCTCAAGTTGGAGCATAGATATTTATCATGCCCAACTTGTTACATAAATAACTAACACGAATTCCATTTAGTGCTTTAGTGAACAAGTCTCCAAGTTGCTCTCCCGTCTTCACATATCCTGTAGAGATCAATCCTTGTTGTATCTTTTCTCGAACAAAGTGACAATCGACCTCAATATGTTTTGTTCTCTCATGAAACACTGGGTTGTTAGCAATGTGTATAGCAGCCTGGTTATCACACCAGAGTTTAGCAGGCATTGGTGTCTTCAGTCCAATTTCACTCAATAGATGATTTATCCAGATTATCTCACATGCCGATTGTGCCATAGCCCGATATTCTGATTCAGCACTCGAACGAGAAACCACATTCTGCTTCTTACTTTTCCAAGAGACGAGATTACCACCAACAAAGACGCAAAAGCCAGATGTGGATCTTCTATCATCTTTAGATCCAGCCCAATCAGCATCTGCAAAGCATTCTATTCTCATGTGATTATGATTTTGATAAACAATACCTCGTCCTGGTGTCCCCTTCAAGTAACATAATATATGCTCTACAGCATTCCAATGATCAACTGTCGGGGATGACATATATTGACTTACTACACTCACTGAGTACGCAATATCTGGACGGGTAACTGCGAGATAGTTAAGCTTTCCAACCAACCTTCTATGATTTCATTACTATTCTAGTCATTAATCATATTTTTTTTTGTAAACAATCTTATTTTTAGTCAAACATATGTAATTATTTCTTTATTCTAACACCCTAATTATTGTCTGTTGGAACTTAGAAATTTAATTAATAGACTCTAACTCAAATACTAGGCTCCAAAATCAAAATTTACGTGTTTAATGATAGAATTAACTGATAAGTCTGATAAGCCGAAAACATTATCAAAAAAGGTAGATTCTATGGTATCCCAAATGTACCATACATTTGTCCAAATTGACCAATAAGAATGATGCAGTTGAATTATTTAAATCTAAATTAAAAACATATAATGATTTGGACCAATCAAATGCATGGTAGGTACGGTACTCCATTTTTTAAATGGGTACCAGAGTTGTCACCTCAAAAAAATTCCTTAATTAACTTTACATGACCTATGTGATATATATGCATGTATTTGGTTAGTGTCACCTCTAGAGATGTTATTGGATGATAAAACTATACTATGTATTTTCTAAATACTATTCTCTTGTACTTTCTCCAAATTTCATACATATTGAGCAAAATAAGTTCATCCAGTCATAATGTTATATAGTACTAGGTATCTGTCTATGAGCATATCTAGATTATACTCCCTCCGTAACTTTAGAATCTTCACATTTCAAAAGTAGGTAGATTAAGAATAGTGAAAAATGATATGAATTATTGAGGGTATGATGGGAAAATAATGGAATAATGTGGTGGAATGTAGGATAAATCCAAAAAAGTAGTTGTAATAGTGTATTATTTTAAGAATTATTGAGGGTATGATGGGAAGATTTAAAAATGGGAAGATTTTTGTGTTACGGACGAAAAAGGAAAGTGGGAAGATTTTTAAGTTACGGAGGGAGTAGATAGTATAATTACATGTTGAAATATTTAAAATTTATCTCGATAATTATCCCATTGAATAAAACTTGTACGTACAGTTGCCGGCTTGCCGCAGCACTAGCCTTTGCACCTCCCGTATAGTACATCATTTTTCATAGGTGTAACATTTTTGAGGTGAAAGATCGAAAATTGATTTCATTTTTACCCCATGAATTGCAACTTGCAAACAGCCTAGTGTCCACATGGGTCCATGCCAAAAAACTGATGCAAATAACTCATTTTGCTATCACATACTATGTACGTAGTACTTCGTAATTAATAAGTTTGAGTCACACCAGTTGAGGGTTGTAAATGCATGTACAAAGTTTGTACTCCCGGAATATTTCAAATAGCTGTTTATATGTTTCAATTCCGTTAAATACTTCTTCAAGGATGTATAACAAGTATCATGGGTGGAGCTAGGGGTGGGCCAACCTAGACCATGGCCCACCCAAAATTTTAAAAATAGCTTAATTTTTAAGGTAAAAAATTTTGTGTAATTTTTTTTTAAAAAATATTCTTTGTACCGGATCAGTCTGGCCCAATGCCCTGGCTCCGCCCCTGATATTGTCAAGTATTTAACGGAATAAAAACACATAAACAATTATTTGACACGGATTTACTTGATATTGTGTCAAATAACTCATGTCAAACTGTTTTTTAAATAGATTTGATATATCGTTGTCAAATGTTCTATAATTTTGGCAAAATTATGTCAATCTTGTTTTTTTTGTAATGATATACTTATACCTCGTATATAACAGTTTGCTTTCATATATATACTCTGGAGAGGCGGTCCTGGGGGAGGGCAACAGGGGCAAGGGCCCTAGGCCCAAACTATATGAAAACAAATTAGACCCAATATTTATGCAGGGCCGTCTCTAGGAGTTTTGATGCCCCAGACAGAGAATGACTTATGAGATAAAATAGAAATTAAAATTAATAACAAAATTAAAGATGAAATAATTAGAATAAAAACAAAAGACTTTGTTTTTTCACATTGGGTAAACTAATCATGGGCGGTCGTATTTTTTACCATTTGTTAAGCACCGAGTATAGTGTTTGTCAGTAAAAATCTGTTTTTTTATCAACATGATATCATGACCAGTTATTTTCATTAGGCCCCTCTCAACTAAGAAATCTTTATCTTTTAAGAAATATGTATTTTCCAGTTAGTTACCCGGATCACATAACTCGGTCATATCAAGAGTTACAGGCTACACATCTACAATATCATTCTGAACATCAACATTCACCTCCTCATCATTTACAACACATCGATCTACCCTCATCTTTTTTTCTTTTTCTTTTTAATTTCATTCTCAAATTAAACACCAATATTTTCATTCTCATCTTTATCATTTACTCCGTATGATTTATGTAGGGATTTTTGTTTGAGGTTGATTGAAAAAGTTTTGTTTTTACATACCTATCCATTGCGCCCGCAAAAGACTGCATTACATCATCTTTTCTTTTCTTAAGTTTTTTCTTTGAAGCCCCTAACTTTTGTTTTCGTTTCCCCGTCATAGTACACAATACAAAATAATAATTTAATCCTGATAAGTTACTCGTATATTACAAGTTAGTAAATACTGAAATACCGTGTTTTTGGGCTATTGAAATACCATTTAAAAAGTGCAAAAAAAAAACAAATTTCAGACTAAATTTAATAAATGAATAACTTCAAGAAAAGTAGAGAAACAATGTAACACAAATATGTTTCATCAGGTTACCACAAGTACAATTTATTTAGAAATAGTAATTAATAAATTGGATTTGGTCATTTAGAAATAAGAATAACTCATTTACCACTTTCAGTTTTTAATCTCTATGAATTGTGGATTGCGGAAGAATTCAAGAAATTAAAATTTTAAATATAACGAATTATCAAGACTGAAATCTCAAATATGGATACTCTCGGCCGCTTTTTTTGCCTGACCGTATGCTCCGTATTTTTTAATTTTAAAAATCAGATATTCAGATGGGCACTCTAGGGTAATACTCCTAATTTCCTATTGGGCGCCATGGGTGGTTTGGGCACTCTAGGAGTATTAAATTGTTTTCTAGCTTTGACTTTTCAATTTTTGCTCCTGCGGCCGCTACGTGTGATTGGGAGTTGAATGGCTCTTTCAACTCTTTTGCCTTCTACGAAGTAGTAAAGTACTCCCTCCGTCCCTTATAACTTTGCCAACTTTCCATTTTTGGATGTCCCAATAACTTTGTCACTTTCCCATTTAAGTAAAGAATTTGTGGTTCCAGTTAATTGTCTCTCCTCTGCACAAACCTCAACCACACAGTTTTTACTTTATTAATTCCCGTGCCGGTCAAACTTGGCAAAGTTATTAGGGACGGAGGGAGTAATACGGAGTAATATATTAATAAATATAATAGTGGTTTAAAAAAAATGATGCCCCCATGGAAGTGGTGCCCTAGGCCATTGCCTAGGTGCCTGCCCACCATGGCCGGCTCTGTATTTATGCTTTATACTAAGGCCGAGTAGACTGAGTTTTTGGGTCTATTCACTATTTTCATACGGTTAGTAAGGTCTAGTAAAAAGATAGTAAACAAATCATAAAAACACGGGAATCGTGAAATTGCCTATTATAGATCACTCGCTCCTAGCTTTGAAACCTGACTTGGTATTGAATTCAAAGTGATATTATTATCATTGTTATTAATACAGAATTATATATGGTCATATGCAGTGTTTTAAATAGCGGTCCGCTACCGCTGTAGCGGCCGCTATATAGCGGTCGCGGTAGGTATCGCTACCGCTACGGGCCGCTATCAGGGTGTGATTTTCAAATCACAGAAAAATCTCGCTACGCCGCTCGCTACATGCCGTTACAGGCCGGTACCGGCACTTCCGGCAATATATCACGAATTGGTTGATGTGTAAATATGTAAATGTTGTGTGCATGATGTGAAAAAATACATTAATAGTGATGCATGGAGTGAAACTCTAAATTAAATGTACATGTATCCACATACATTATGGTAGCAAATATTAATAAATATCTAAATTTTAATTATTAAAACTGAATTAATAAATATTAATAAGGATGATTTAACTTTAATATCGGTTGACGAAAAAAATGTTGACTTAACAAAATAATTTGGAACAGAAGTGGTACTACCTCCGTAACATTGGGATGTTCCCATTTGAAAAGTAGGTAGATTAAGAATAGTGAAAGGAGATATGTATTATTAGGGGTATGATGGGAAGATAGTGAAATAATGTGATGGAATGAAGGATAAATCCAAAAAAAGTAGGTGTAATAGTGTATTATTTTTAAAATTATTGAGGGTATGATGGGAAGATTTAGAAATGGGAAGATATTAGTGTTACGTCCAAAAAAAGAAAGTGAGAAGATATTTACGTTACGGAGGTAGTATTATTATGGATTATGCAAGTTGCAATGTATGGTCCACTTCTTAAAATTTGATTGTGAAAGGACAACAATTTTTCATATAAGTAATATATTTTCGGGACGGAGGAGTATATCTTTTTATTGAAAATTATTTATAATATACAAATGAAATAATAATGTTCTTTGTTAAAAGTACTTTTAAGGTTGTCATATTCTTATTGGTTGATTAGTTGTTAATTAATGTTATAAGTGTTCAAACAAATATTCATACTGTTTTAATTTTATTAACTTTAACACCCATTAAATATATGTTTTGCACATTTAAAATATTTTACGCCGCTGCAGCCGCTACGGGTGGCTATATCCCGTTACCGAGATGACCGCTACCGATGCCGTTACGGCTATTTAAAACACTAGTCATGTCATATGGATATGTTCGTTATTCGCATATCCATATCACGGAGTATATTTTTCCATGGGGATATGTTCGCCTAGTACGTAGTTATATAATGATTGTTGTTAATTATCACTATACAATTTATACATAATATTATCCCGATCTCATCAATTGTTTAATTATCTGGCTAGGGACGATCTATTATATTGCTAGTGGCTACCTGTGCAGGCCGGACTTGAAATGTCATCAACTAACCAGCGAAACGATGGGTCCATAGCATTAATCAGCTCTCTCAACTCTCCGTCCACAACCCTATAAATGGACACACCATTTCTTACCTTTTCTTCATCCATCTTTCCACACTACTCATAATAAGCTTAAAAAGATGGCTTCAAAGGCGTTTATTCTGACAGGCCTTTCTTTGACCCTTGTTCTCCTCGTCGCTTCCGAGGTCTCCGCTAGGGACCTAGCGGAGACTTCAACTAAAAATGTAGCTGAGAAAGCGAATGAGGATCACAAACATGTAGACGGCTATGGAGGCGGCGGGCATTACGGAGGAGGAGGAGGCGGGCCATACGGCGGCGGAGGCGGGCATTATGGAGGAGGCGGGGGACAATACGGAGGAGGAGGCGGACAATACGGAGGCGGCGGTGGCCATTACGGGGGAGGCGGCGGACATGGAGGAGGCGGCGGCGGTCATGGAGGATGCAGATATGGATGTTGCGGTTACGGATGCGGGAGGTGCTGTTCTTACCAGGGGGAGGCTGCAGATGAAGCGGCGGCTGGACAGCCATAATTAGTTAAATAATTAATTAAAGCTTTTGAATAATTACATAATTAATCAAAGCTTTTTAATTAATTATTTAATATGGATTCATATCTATGTATATGGTCTGGCATATGATATGCTGCTAGTTGAGGAGTGTTGTGTGTGATGATTAACTAGCAAGCAGCATGCCAAGTCCATATATGAATGGTGTGGGCCCGACCCGGTCCCTAAATATGGGCCACCGTACCCTTCTATCTTCAATAACGCAGTGATGTTGTACGTACCTCTCTGCAGTATATATTCGTGATCAATAAAAACAACCACTTGTTCCTACCATTGACTACTCTTTAGTGTTTTCTTTATTCATATCGATAATTGTGAATAGAAAAATGCTTTAGGTAGACGTTTTGTGTACACATGTCTGTCCTTCACAGACAAATTGTCTGTCACGGACAAATTGTCTGTCACGGACAAATTGTCTGTGAAGGACAGACATATGTACACAAAATGTGTACCTCTAGCAAAACCCGATATAAACAATGACTAGAAGGTTTTAATATAAACGGAAATGGTTGCCCTTTCCAAAACGGAAACCAGAAGGTTTTAATATAAACAATGACCTAATATTGTTGATTGTTGTGTGTAGGTCAAGAAAGTGTACCCGATAGGCTTCTACACTTTGGTGCTTGTGAATATGCCTCATGAATTTGCATCTGATATTCAGTTGAGAAATTGCCCATAATAGAGTAAACATGGTCCAAATTCACAAATAGGCCTTACGTGTTTTTATTTAGACTGTTTACTAAATAGTTATAAAATACACAAAAACCAAATGTTTACCAGATCGGTTTAGACCATACCAGAATGGACTAGAAAATTATAGTTCTAGTAAAAACATCCCTATTATGTTTATGTTTCATTCATACATAGTACGAGTATATTGGTAAAAAAATGTTGGTCCTATTTAAATTTGTCCTATGTTTATGTCTTAATTAGGAGATTTCTCTGCTAATTAAACTCTCCTTGTACGTAATCGGGTACAATCAATTGATATGTTTTTATTATTCTTAGCCAGGCCATTTAAAATTTAAATCATGCTCACACCGTAAGGCTGGATATATTCCATTTCTGATTTGGCAAGCCAAACAAACATAATGTCATACAATTTTACTTATTTAAAAGGGAAAATCGCACTTTTAGTCCCTGAAATAGTCACGAAAATGAAATGTCAGACCCGTATTTCTGATATTGTAAATGTCACCCCTCAATTATCCAAATTGTTGTAAATGTGGTCCTTTAAGGGAATAAGGGGTGAAATGTACTTCTCACCCACATTGTATATTTCACCCCTAAAAGGACCACATTTACAACATTTATGACAATTGAGGGACCACACTTACAAACTTGGGAATACGAGTCCGACATTTCATTTTGGTGACTATTTTAGGGACTAAGAAGGTGTTCTCTTCACCTGATCTGAATGTTCCCGATCTGAATTATTTAAGTTCTGATCTGATCAGATCTGAATTTTTCTGATCTGATCTGAATCTTTCTGATCTGATCTGAATGTTCCTGATCTGATCTGAATGTTCCTGATCTGATCTGAATGTTTCTGATCTGATCTGAATCCTTCTAATCTGATCTGAATCTTTTTTATCTGATCTGATTTGAATATTTCTAAAATTATAATTACAATTATAATTACTATAATTATAAATGTAATTACTCATATATAATTTAAATATAATTATAATTATAATCATAATTACAAACATTATAATTATAATTACAAACATAATTATAATAGGTATAATTATTATTATACGTATTACACTAGTTATAAATATAGTTATAATTATAATTGTAATTATATTTATAGTTATATTTATTTCTATAATTTTAATTATAATTATAATATTTATTTCTATAATTTTAATTGTAATTACTCCATATAATATGATAATAACGAAAAAAAACTAATAACAATAACAACAAAAACCATATTAGTAGTAAGAATAATAATAATCATGATAATAATAAATATCATAATAACAATAATAATAATAATCATAGTAATAATAATAATAATAATAATAATAATAATAACAACAACAACAACAACAACAATAGCAATAGCAATAGCAATAGCAATAGCAATAGCAATAGCAATAACAATAACAATACAATAACAATAATAATAACAATAACAATAACAATAATAATATCAATAATAATATTAATTATAACAATTACAATAACAACAACAAGAATAATAATAATTATAATTATTATAATTATTATAAATATTATTATAATTATTATTATTATTATAATAAAAAGGATAAATCATGTCTGAACTTTTCTGATCTGATCTGAACTTTCCTGATCTGATCTGAATGTTCCTGATCTGATCTGAATGTTCCTGATCTGATCTGAATCTTTCTGATCTGATCTAATCTGATTTGATCTGATCTGAATAAAATAAGAATAAGCAATAAGTAATAAGATTAAGACGAACAGAACAGCTTCTAAAAGTGCGATTTTCCCTATTTAAAATGTACTCTTTCATTGTAGCCTCTCCAATGCGATAATGTGCTCGGTGCAGATGTGGCATGAGAGATAGCCACATAAATATTAGTAAATAAATTCTTTCTCTCCTTAATTATTTAAATGATTTTATACAATTTTGGTAAGTTTTTCTCCACAATGTCAAGGAGACCGTCTAGATGTTGACATTATATTTATCCTTTAATGTTCATAGTTTAGACTTCAACGTTAATTGCAAGCATAAACTAAGTTTAACATACTTCTATGTTGTACACAATAGTTGTAAACAATCAAAATATAAATGATAAATCACAATTTATTGGTTTAGAATTTTGTCAAACACCTCGTGGCATAGAAGTTCATCCCTAGCCTTAGCTAAGAATTAGCCTCTAATGCTCATATTAATCACAATACAATATTGAAATGTACTGGAACATGAAATTACAAAAGAAATAATACCTAAACACCAATGATTTCGGAGGATGAACTTCCCACCTCAAGAACTTGAAGAAAAATAGCAAGAACAAAATATAAAAACTAGGAATTAATCTATGAAATGGAATGCTCTTGTTTGATGAGTTGGTGGATTTATATAGTCTAAAGAATATCATCTTTTAGTCTACTCGAGCTCAACAATCAGGTATGGAAGCAATATTTGATCAACAATGAGGAAGCTGAAGTTTTCCAATCAAGAATAGTCTTGCACGTCTCTATGTTTTGTGTAGAATCCGACCTAACTGGCGCCGGTTTCACAACCAACGCCGATTCTTCTTGAACGCAGGTAAAATCTGGAATTTTGACATAAGCGGCGCAGGTTATATGGGCAACCCGGCGCCGGTTAAGCTACTGCTTTGCCATTTATGTGCGAAAATCAAGTGACCGGCGCCGGTTTAGTGCAATTCCGGCGCCAGTTTTGTCCTGGGATTTTGGGGATGTTTCGTTACGAATTTGGACATGATTCATTCACCAAAGTTGTAGATAATGAAGTCTTCTATATGCCAAAGCTTGAATGAATTGTTTTCAATCATTCAATCAAAAGTTATGGATCAAACACTGAGAGGTATGCATCCTGAAATCCCACCAGCAACATTTGACTTTATTGGTTGATTGAGTCTTGTTCCTTTCATATTCTGGTCATGACGTCTTCATAACATTTTTACCTTATTGAGTTACTATTCACATGAAATTTGAATCGGGTGATTTGGAGTTCTATACAATAAGTTATACTCGATTTATGGGCAGAATGTCCATCCTCTTGGTCCCAAAAGCCGTTCATTACAATGTTTTATGATTTAGCTCTCATTTTGAAGGTATTTTTCCATTTTCTCTTCTTTTCTTCAATAAATACTTATAAATACTTTTGTTAAACACAAGTAAATATAACGGCTATCAATCTTTCAGATTTTCTCATTAGTTTTTGCTTTTATGTAATTGGGTCGGGTTTAGCCCCCCAATTTCATCTTTTCCTCCTGTTGAATTGTAATCTTTTTCTTGGTAATAATATTTTGGTAAATTCTCCCCGACATTTACCACACTGGTTTTGGTGGTTTGCCTTCCGGGGTAAAAAAAATGCATAGTTTCAGTCATAGCATATTAAATTAATTAATTTATCCAAAACTTCATACTCATCACAATTTCTAAAAAATCAAAATCCACTAACATAATTTCCAAAGCCGAAATATATACAAAATTACATCACAAATAATAAATCATAGAACAAACTTTAATCAAATTACTAGTATACTACCCGTGCATACGCACATGAAAGAGCGGTATGTAGTTTGCGTACATATATATTTACTCATGATCTAATCAAATATTAAAATTAAATAACTTTTAAGATTAGTACCAAAAGCACTACATATGAGATAGAAAATTGTTCGCTCGCTTATTAGTCCGCTTATCTTATACCTAGAAGCTACATATGATAAAATATTCTTCCAGTCAATTTTTAGTTTACTTATCCTCTTATACCTAGAAGTCAAGTATTACGTGTGAAACAGAAAATTTTCCCGCTCAAATATTAGTCCGTCCATCTTATACCTAAAATTATAACATATGAGAGAAACAACTATATCGCTCAATTATTAGTGCGCTTATCTTATACAGTTATACCTAAAAGTACTACATATGAGAGAGAATTTTCTTCCGTTCATTTATTAATTCGCTTATCTTTTACCTAAAAACACTACAAATGAGAGAAAATATCATCTCTCATGCACTTAGTAGTACGTTTATCTTATAACTGAAATTACTACATATATGAGTGAGAGCAAAAAAACTGATCAATTATTATTCTGCTTATCTTATACGTAAAAGCACTACATGTTGAAAAGAAAAATTTCCCGCACAATTATTAGTCCGAGCTGCTTATCTTATCTTATACCTAAAAGTACTACATATGTGAGAGGAAATTCTTCCACTTAGTTATTAGGGAGTGTTTGCGATTGCTTGTGCTTTTTAAAAGTGATTTTTTAAGAGATTATTGGAAAAGTGATTTGTAGAAAAAGTTGGTAGTGTTTGGGAATATAAGTGATTTTAATTAAAATGTAAAAGTTGGAGTGTTTGGTAAAAAAGTGATTCCTATGGTAGTATTTTATTAAATTACAAAAATAGCCTCCAATTAGATAATCATGCCTCTACAATAAGATGCCCCATCAATTGCCAACAAAAGGATGTTCCAGGCGTACGACAACATTGCTCTGCCCTGGAGAGAAAGCGAGTGAGCTATGGATGGAAAAATCGGAAGAGGATGAAAAAGGGTTGGGAGAATTGGGCAAAAAATAATAGAATATGAAGATTACAATCCGAAAAGAGTAGAAACAGCTGCGGGAGTGGCGGCGGTGGTCCGGTGTAGCGAAGCACATCGGTCGGCTGCAATTTTTGGAGGAGGGAAGGTGGTTGTCCCGTAGGGATGATGGAAGATGCTCTGTACGAGTGTACTTGGGATAAGGGTACTTTTGGAGTAATTTTTATATTTAGAAATAAAAACATCCCAAAAGTTGAAGTTATTTACGGAAATACCAAGAAGCAAAAAAAAAAAGCATGCCTAGACCTACTTTTGGCTTTTGACTTAAAACTGATTAAATTAAGCTGATTTTTTCATTTGCAAACACCTCATTCAGCTTTCACCCTAAAAAAGCTGAAAGTGCTTTTTTAAGCATTAACAGACACACTCTTGGTCAGCTTACCTTATACCTAAAAGCATTATATATGAGAAAGAAAATTCTCCTACTCAATTATTAGTCTGCTTATGTAATCTTATACGAAGTACCTAAAGCATTACATAGAAGAAAAAATTATTCCACTTAATTATTAGTTCGTTTCTCATAAAAATCTTTTGAGAGCTACATTGCACACCCGGTTCTACAGTGTTCATCATAAAACCATGCATGTATAGTATTTCATGTTATGCTTAATGAGTATAACATTGAAAAGAAATGAGTATTGGTGTTAAATCTAGGGGTGTTCATAAAAACCGAGAGAACCGATACCGAATCGGCCCGTAATGGTACCGAACCGAATATCGGGTATTCAAACGGTTCTATAGAGTTTAATCCCTAATCGAAACCGTACCGTTTCAAATGGGTACGAGACCGATCCTAGATTTTGAGAACCGAAAAATACCGGACCGAACCGTTAAAAAATAATGCCTTGTGATTTTAATATTTTCAATACCAATAAATATCTTTTCTAGACCAACAATTTTATAGCCCAAGTATTTATTTATGCATTCCTAAAATAGATACATGTGTGTGTTATATAAATATTGTTCCTTTATCTTTTAGATAATTTATGTTATATTTGGTATTATATATAATGAAAGAATGCTAAAGTTTTAAAAATCATTAATGACTATTAATTTATAGTAATGTAGAGCATATGACGTTTTGTTGTATCATATTTGTGTAGTTTTACAACTTAAGTAATATGGTCTGAATCTTAACTCTTACGGTTTAACTATGAATTAAACTAGAACCTATATTCATCTTAGAACAAAGAAGAATGGTAATTTTTTTCATTATTTTCAACAATTTAATGATATTCTTTTTATATTTTCACATGAACTTAATAAAGATGATACTATACTAGTGTATTGTTTTGCTATTTTTTTTTACTTAGTTGTGTTGCACTATTTGTTGTGATTTTAAATACAAAAATTTCAACCTCTTGAATCTTTTCTAGTATTTAGTATGCAATATACTAAATACTGTATTTTATCAACATTTCATGTGAATTGGGCGTTGTGATGATATATACTAATTGCAATATTTGTCCAAATGTTTCGGCATGTGTTTGACATTGTACCGAACCATTTCGTACCGTTCCGAAACATGACATGGTACCAAATGGTTCCAACTATAGAACCGGACCGTACTGAACCGTTAGAAACCTCACGGGCACATTACGAGTTTTGCTAAATTACCTGACCTTTACGGACCGCGGCCACCCCTAGTTAAATCACTGTATTGGTAGCACAATTGAGAATTAATTAGAAGCATGTCATTGAGTATCATGATTTACACGTAATATATGAGCTACAAATAAACTTATTCATTTCACTATATTATCATTGTATAATCATCAAAATATTTATTGTGCTGAGTTTATAATTTAATTATATATCAAAACTCATTTCTTTTAAAAATTTATACTCATTTATTTTAACATAAAATACCTGGTTTTATGGTATATTTTGCCCTTATCTTATATCTAAAACCACTACATATAACTTATATGAGAGAAGAAATTAATAAGCTCACTTATTAGTCTGCTTATCATCATCATCAGCATCAGCATCATCATCATCATCACCATATACCTAAAATCACTACATATGAGAGAGAAAATTTTCCCGCTCAACTATTACTCAACTTATCTCGTCTCATGCCTAAAATTATATTACACCCAAAAACAATAATATGAGAGATAAAATTCACCCGTTCAATTTTTAGTCCGTTTATTTTATATACTTAAAAGCATTATATATGAGAGAGTAAATTCTATTGTTCAATTATTAGTCCGCTCATCTTATATCTAAAAGCAGTATATGTGATACAAAAATTTTTTCCGCTCAATTATCAGTCCACATAGTTTACACCCAAAACCACTACATATGAGATAAAAAATTCTCCCGGTCAATTATTAGTCCACTTAGCTTATATTTCCTCGGGTTTTTTAGTTGCAACATTATCATTTTCATGTTTGTCTCCGCACAACTTTCATCGTCATTATATTAAATTCAATATTAATTGTTTTTGAATTTTGAGAATGTAAATTTGTAACCTTATACCTAAAAGCATTGCCTATGAGAGAAAAAATTGTCCCATGCAGTTATTAGTCCGTTTAGGCTATATCTCGTATATAAAATACTACATATGAGAGACAAAGTTATCACACTCACTTATTAGCTCGCTTAACTTATACCTAAAAGCACTTCCATATGAGAAAAAGTTCTCGCACTCAATTATTAGTCTATTTAACTTCTTATATCTTAAAACACTACGTATGAGAGAAAAAATTCTCTCTCTCAAGTATTAGTCTGCTTAGAATATGTTAAACAAACCAAATCAAACTAAACTTAAATAGATCAGACCAGTTTAAAACAAACTAAAATTGTTAAATAAAAATGCCATATGCGTCTCTTTCTCTTAAAATAATAAATATTAAATTAAAATAATTTAGAAGTTTTATTTTATTAGCACCCGATGTAATTATCATTTTCATTTACTAGATTTTAAAGGTATTAGAATCTAAAAAATGAAAATAATATTAGATATTTAATAATAGTAGGGTTGATAAATTATTTTATCACAGGGTTGTACCGTGTGGACGTTACAACTGGTTTGTATGATATATTTCTCCCTTAGGTCATACCTCAAAGCACTACATATGACTCATAAGAGTGAGAAAATTACCCCGCTCACTTAGTAGTTTACTTATCTTATCTTATCTTATCTTATCTTATACCTAAAATCAATACGTGTGAGAGAGAAAATTCTCCCGCTCACCATTTACTCAACTTATCTCATCTCATTCCTAAAATTATCATACACCTAAAAATAATATATATTAGAGATAAAATTCACCCGCTCAATTATTAGTCTGTATATCTTATTTACCTAAAACCACTATATATGTGAGAGAGAAATCTATTGTTCAGTTATTAGTCCGCTCATCTAATATCTAAAAGCAGTTAATGTGATAGAGAAAATTTTTCCACTCAATTATTAGTCCACTTATTTTATTTTATTTTTATTATACCTAAAAGCATTATATATGAGAGAGAAAAAACCCCTCTCAATTATTAGTCCACTTAGATTATACTTCCTCCCTTTTTTATTTGCAACATTCTCATTTTCATGATAAGGGTCCTTTGGTTGATACTCCTTATGCCGCGTCATTTACCAATGCCATAGAGACCTCGGGCTCTATTTCTCATGCCGCGGTTTCTCCATTTGACAATCTGATACATGGCGTGACTCCTATGGTTGATACTATTGTCATTCTGGACAAGGAAGTCTTGAACCCCTTAACAAAGGAAAGTGTCATCTTAGACAATGTTGCTAAGGACCCTTCATCTAATGCCGCGACATTCATCAATGAAAAGGATAAATCCATTCCTTCTAATTGGAATGACACAAATTGCAATAAGTTCGGTCGCAATCAGATTTAAGGCCAATAAGGAAATCAAATTACAAGGAATTGCAATAAGTTTGGCGCACATCGGCACATGTATCATATCATTCGTCCATATCGTTATGTCATCCATTACTTATGTTCCAATTCACAATGTATTCAATTTTAATACTTATGTTCCAATTCACAATGTATTCACAATTTTGGAAATTCATCATTTTTTGTCAATAAATGTTAAAGTTAAATCCTCCTATTGATATATAATTCAATTTTAATAAATAAAATTTACTTATTCAAAAACTGTTTTAAAAATTTTATAAAATTGCAAAATCCAAATTAAAATTTGATTAAGAATTAATTTAATATCCTAATTAAGTGATTAAAGTAAGCCGTTTGACTCAAAAAAATCAAATTTCCAAATCAATGTGGGACGGATGTATTAAGTATTCAAGTACGTATCTTTATATGCCTTACATTATGTGCATGATCTTTAGTTATAGTTTTCCTACTTTGTGATCTTACATTCATGATTCTATGTACAAGTGTACAAATCATGTACTCTTGACTTTAATTTATTCGAAATTTTACTCAACCAAGTAAATGTAGTGAAGGGAATGAAGCTGTAGCAACCAATTATTCATTACAAATACATTGTGCGTACCGTATAATCGTACATCTATCACTGTATTATTACATTATTAAGGGATTTGAAAGACCACAATTAAGGATTGTGATTGTCCATATTTAAGAGACGGATATATATGGATCCAAATTAAAAATTACGGAGTAAAAAGAAGCTTTAACTGTAATTCTTTATTGAGAAATTTTCCAAATAAGAGTAAAAATATTTTGAAATTCCAAAATAGGAGTATCATGTTTTTTATTATCTGAATATGAGTAATGCCAAGTTTGAAAAAATGTCATGTTTAAAGCCTTGTAATGCCAAACTTGGCGACTCTTATTCAAGGAACAAAAAAATATGATACTCCTATTTTGGAATTTCAAAAAGTTTTTACTCCTATTTACGGAATTGTCTCTTATTTATTCGATATGATGAAAGTCAGAACTAATCACGGCTTTGCCGCCGCCGCCGCATCGATGGCCTCCCCCTTATGAGCACAGCACCTTTGGCAACCTCCATGATATCCGACCCTGCCGCAACAACCGTATCTGCAATATCCTCCTCCACGGCCACCGCCATAGCCGCCGCCATAACCGCCGCGTCCCCAGTCGTCATACCCACCGCGTCCGCCGCCTCCATACCCGCCACGCCCATAGCCTCCCGGCCCACCATATTCATCTACATGCTTGTGCTCCTCAGCTTCACTCGCTGTACCAACACATGCAGAAAGCACGTTAATAAGTACGTTTAATACTATCTATATAGTCAAACTTTAGTAGAAGTTAATTACAATCAAATTTTGCTACAAATTTGTACTCCGTACAACATTCCACTAAAATTTTCTCTATCAACATCACATCGAACTTTTTTTTAATTTTCCCAAACATTTTGGTTGAAACTTTTTTTTTAACTAATTTATACCCAGTATGTAGTTGTGAAAATTCTACAGAGTATAATTTAGTGTACAAATAGCACTATTATTACGTAGTATTATTTCCTCTAATAAGACTCAGTGCTTCTCTTTGAGAAAGTTTTATACGTAGCACTTTAATTTTAATAAAATCAAATAAGTCATATCTTAGAAATAAAATATTAATACTATGATTTGTGAATTTTGTCGATCTATATATATTTTAGTCCTATTCCAAACAATTTCCTTTTATAGTTTTTGTTATTTCTCTTTCTTATTGACATACTCAGCTCATAAAAATGTAATATTGCATTACATCCGGTTGTGGCTTCGCACAAAATGACAACTTCTGGTGGAAAATTATGAAGAAACTTATTATTATTTTCAAGGCCAATAAGTTTACAAATAAAGCTAATTTAATAATAAGTCCGACATACTTCATTCCATGAACATAAAAGAATGAAATATAATTGCTCTAAATAAGAGTAAAATATGGGCAAAATAAAATTGTATCTCTAATAATTACAATTACATTAATTTCACCGGACTAAATATGCGAATTGTTGAACTTTGATCAATTGCAGAATTTATGAATGTAAGATTTCGATCATCATACGTATTTCTAGTTCATACGCTTCTATTGCGCAGTTCCAAAAATAAATTTTTATTTTTCACAATTCATAGTTATAAGTCCGTACTCCGTATTATGTATACAGTAATACTAATAACCTAGCTCTATTCTAGCTTTTATTTTGCGAAAACTTGTTACGGAGTATAAAATTTGGGTTGATTAATTAATTAACTCATCCTTGGAAGCATTTTCATAAAACGTGGTTTACCTCAGAAATAAATAATATAGTAAATCATGCTACCTCCATCTCACTTACATTGGGAATTGGGAAAAGAGGTAGAGGATGACATGGTTATGAAGAAAAGTGAGTTAATCTAATTGATATTGAATTGATAAAGTAAGTATAAAATGAAAATGATTTAGGTACACACAAACTTTACCAAATCTTATACTACGTACGAGACAATTGGTATTTCTCGAAAAGAAAAAAATGAGACAATCTTAGCGATGCGATGGAGTAATTAACATTCGTCGGTGTATGGTTAATAGAAGAATATAATAATGTGGTCGGGGTGCAAAGTGAATGCATGCATGCATAATTAAACAAAACTGCATGCAAGACATTTCATTCTTTCTTCGTGAACATTCTCTTTTTCACGTTTGCCCAAACAACATAGATAGTATGAGTACTCTCTCTGTTCTTTTTTAGTTGCAATATTCCCCTTTTCACGTTTGCCAACGTACAACTTTGACCGTCATTGTTTTAATTACGGAGTATATATTAGTAAAGAAATTTAAAATTCAAATTATGAAATTTTGTAATGAGACTAATTCAACAATATTTTAAAAAAATAATAATTCACATCTGTTAATAAATAAAATATAGTCAAAGTAGAGTACATGAATAGTGTATAAATTCCAATGTTGCAACTAATGCGATAACGTATTGTACGACACTTACTGGTCAATGAAGCTGCAGTCTTGCCAGCGAGCTCCCTAGCAGAAACCTCGGAAGCGATAATGAGAAAAACGGCCAAAGAAAGGCCGATGAGAAGAACTGCCTTGGAACCCATCTGATCTTACAAATTAAACTCTCTGTCTAGTTCGTAAACTTTTAAGGTATGCTGATAAGAGAACTGAAGTACGGTCTCCTTTTATAGGACCAAGATTGGAAAAAAAAAAAAAAAAATAGCTTCCACCCCGAACTGTTCAGTTCATTTAATTGGATCACACACCCCGAACATATTATTTTTAATTAGTACATATGTCCCCAATTTAAGATATACTTGAATTTGGCTTCAATTTTAGGAAAAAAAGGATAAAACCATTCGTTTATAACCCTAAATTTAAAGTAAATCGATCTATTCACAACAATAAGATGAAATAATTTAGAATACGTTTGGTATTTGGTAAAAATCAAATTGGTTGTTTTGACTAATTCTGGTGAAATTCATAAAATTCTGACTGAAGTGGCTGAATTGACTGATTTATGAAAAAATAATATGTTGTATTTAAAACATAATTTATTAACTAAATAAAGAAAATTAAAAATATATGAAAAAACAGTTAAAATGATCTTCTACGGTAACAGTCAGTACAACCAGAAAAGTAACTTCAACCTAAACCCGATAAGTCGAAAACATGATCATCAAACGAGATCATAGAACCCATTTAATAATCTTGTTTTTCGGCTTCATCAACAATTATATATACTTCGTACTACGTATTATATAACCCAAATTGCATTATTCAAAATGATGAGTCATTTTAGAGTTAATACTTCTTATACTCCCTCCGTCCCAGGGAGAAGTTCCCGGGTTGACTTTCACACATATTAAGGAAATAAAGTTAATGAGAGGTAAATTTTACGGTTTGGCACTGTTTGACACTGTTTCGACACTGTTTGACACTGTTTTGCACTGTTTGGCACTGTTTTGATGTAGGATAACTTTCCATTTAGGAAAATGAGAACTTTTTGTTAGGACTGCCAAAAAAGGAAAATGGGAACTTGTCCCTGGGACGGAGGTAGTAATTTTCTGTCTGAATTATTCCCTAGCTAATCTGGTGAAGCGGGATGTTTAAACTTTTTCAAATAATTTTTTCATTCTGTATTTTGCGTTGTAGCAAAAAAAGAATAGATTCATTGTAAGTTATCAAAGGATCATTCTTAATTGTTAAATTGTAGGCATGCACCACGAAGGCCCATACCAGAGTCCTATGTTGCACCGATACTTTACTTCGATGCCGTATCCGCGTATCCGATACGTATCCGTATCCGATACTCACCGATACCCGTCCTGTACGTATTGGGTCCGTATCCGTAATTTAATAAAAGTATCGGGCTTAATTTTAAAAATACCGATACTTCCGATACCCGTATCCGTGAACCGATACGCGTATCTGAACCTATAACCCCTCATTTTATACACGACATGACGAAAATTTAGTAGCCAACCAAGCGACCACAACATGTGGAACATTGATAAAGATGGTTTCGGGAGTATGAAAAATAATGGAATACTATAATTTGACATTTCATTGCTTGATGATATTTAATTGAAACAAGACTTGAATGTAAATGCAAATAGAGAACAAAAAAAATTATTTGAATTTAAATCAAAATATCAATACTTTAGTTTTTTAGACTAATCTTTGAAACTTTATTATAATAGTTAATTTTTTGTACTATTATTATTATTTTATTTATGAACCCCTGAATTATATATATTTGCAAATTATACCCTATATTTTTATTATTTATAAATATACCCCCGTACCCGTATCCTATAATTTTTGAAAGTGCCGTATCGCCGTACCCGTATCCGCGTATCCGCGTATCGGCGTATCCGTATCCGTGCAACATAGCCAGAGTCAACTTGATCGCAGACTGTAGGATCGGATCCGACACAAGGAGAGGAGGTGCATGCTGTCATGAATTACTCCGGATGAGTTAGCCATATTTTATACCGGCGGAAAATGAATAATAAATCAAATACGGAGTCGTTCGCATGGACTATGGACCCACTATTTCACTGGTACTTGATCCAGTTTATGATTTTTCAAATCTTTGTACATGCAAGTTGATGCAAGTAGTAATAATCCCCAACCGGATCGAAAGAATGATAATATTAAAAATATACGGAGTAATATAATATAATCACGTTATAATAATTGTAAATTGTAATTCTTACGGTAGAAAGTGCTTAAAGCTTCGATTAGGAGTTACCGAGTTAGCACAAACTTTTGGTCTAACAATTAACGTCAATGGTGGTTATGCCGTCTTCGCGATGGATGTCAATGGCGTTTAACAGATTTGGAAGTGGACGTGGATCGGACCTGCGTCTATTAGGGTTGCGAGGCCTGATTTCTCGATGCTTGTTCTGGCTATTTTAGTCTTTTTGGTGACTGAGACGGAGTGTTTTTTCCTGAATTAATGCAAGTTAAATAAATATTTACCAAATTAAGGTTGAGTTAATAATAATTCCTAGACTACTGCTACACTGGTTAAAAGAAAGCCCTGGTTAGGCCTAACCAGATCTAAGCATACTAGTACGAAACGGTCAAACACTAAGCTAGAAAGTAGAAACGTAGCCATTCATATGGGCCCCTCGAATTATAAAAAACTTTTTTTTCTTTTAAATAGCTATAAGTTTTTTATTTTTGCTCTATTTTTTAAAAAAAATATATCACAATTTATAATTTTTTTATGAGCTTTCATTTGACACCAATGTTGCATATGCATTTTTTTTTAAAAAAATTGAAGAGCATATGGACCCCGTTTGGTGATCCTGTTTTTCGACTATCAATTTCATCAGCCAACTTTTTCACCAAACACATAATTTTTGAATTCGCGTGTTGAATTTCGTAATAATCAAATTAAGTAAGGTTGTAGTTATTCTTTTATTATATTAGTTGAAGATATTGTAGATCTCCATTTCAGTTTTATTCTTTTTTTGTTTTTGTTTTATTCTTTATTTTATTAATAATTTTTGAAGTATAATTTTTTAACAAATATGCCGATTCAACCAATACACTCATCTCAAATTGAACTTCATAAATTTCAATAGAATCAGTTAATTCAGCCAACTTTGAGGATGTTTTTACTTGGATTGTAATCTGTCCCAGAGCAGACCAGACCAGATCAGACCAGACCAAACTAGACTTGCACTACAAAAAAACAGCGTTATAGTCACGGATTTTAGTCACGGATTTCGTCCGTGACTAGTTTAGTCACGGTCTAGTCACGGATTTGTCACGGAATTTTTAAAAAAAAAATAGTCACGGTCAGGACCGTGACTATGACCGTGACTAACATTAGTCACGGTCCATGACCGTGACTTAATTTCTCCGATAGGCCCATTCCCGTTTCCGGCGCAGTTTTTTGATTCCGATGACTTAGTCACGGCCAAATCCGTGACTATGCCCGTGACTATAATTAAAATTTAATTTTTTTCAACTCCCTTAGTTAATTCGCAACGGCATTATGTACGGATAAATGTAGTCACGGCCATATCCGTGACTAGTTCCGTGACTATGTTGATTAACACGTCATTTACACGTAATTAACACGTGTTGGACGCGTGTTGGACACGGTTTTGCTTAGTGACGGACAAATCCGTGACTAAGTCCGTGACTAAATTTTTTATATATGCAGGAGCAGCTCATTCATTCAACAGAACCACACCAATTCATTCCCAGTATATACAGTATCCGTAGATCGAAGGATGTAGTCTATCTTCTATCATTTTCCCTGTTTATGCAGATAAGGTATGTTATTTGAATTATAATTTTTATTTAGAATTAGTTGGTTCAATTTAAATTATTAAAACTATTAAATTAGTGAGGTTGTTAATTAATTAACAACATGTTTTAACTATAAGCGTAGTAATGTCATAAATTAGAATTAGTTAAACTTTTAGGTTTATAAATTAAAATAATTTAATTAAAATTAGTTAGATAAATGTGGTTTAAAACGTAATGATGTTTATGTTTAGTGAAATTAGTTCAAATAACGTACGTTAGTAATGTGTTAATTAAGTGAATTGTGAATTGTTATTGTGAATTGTGTATTGCTTATTAATTCAAATAACTTTATATACATGTTCAAATTATTGGGTTGAATTTGGTCATATTATTTAATTTAGTGAATTGTTAATTGTGTATTACTAATAAGATTAAATGTCATTAACGTAATAATTTAGTGTAGGTTTAAACGTAGGTTTACAAAAATAATTTAATTAAAATTCGTTTGCTAAACGTAGGTTTGAACGTAGCTATTGATGTGTTAATTAAGTTAAATTAGGTAGCTAAACGTAAGTTTAAACGTAGTGATGCATTAAAAGGGGACGGAATTAACTAGTTAAATTTAGTTAAATTTAACTAAATGAATTAGTTAGATTTAATTAAACGTATGTTTAATATAGTGAAATTATCTGCATTATTGTGCATTAGGTGACATATATTTTGTGCATAACTAAGATGTGAATTCTGTGCATTTCAATTAAAAAAAGTGAAAATTAGTTGATTATATTTAGTGAAATAAATTACTTAAAATTGTGTGCATTGCATTTCATCTAATTTTTTATTATAATATCCAGGCATAATGTATAAAAAAAATAGAAGTTGGATGTATGATAAAGATGCGGTATTGTACGGAATGCAATCAAATTTTCTCGAGGGAGTCGGGGAATTTATTGAATTTGCACTTGAACATCCGGCTTATATGAGTGGTGATAAAATAAGATGTCCATGTTCAAAGTGTAAAAATCTCAAATTTAAAGACCCACACGAAGTTGGGTATGATTTGTACGCGGTCGGTTTTGTTCCCAATTATTATAATTGGACTTCTCACGGCGAACCTTTGGATCCATCTGTTATACCACAAACGGTAGGTTCGTCTCGTTACGTCCCTCCAGAGATGAGTGCGTGGGGAGACCGTGCTGAAATGAGGTGGGACCAACAAATGGTATATGACGCATACGGTGTACCGTCTCAATTCAACCCCCCACAACCACCTAACGACCCCCCTGAAGCCTCAACCTCGTATCAACCAGATGCGGATGAAAATCCGACATTTTATCAACCTTATGTGGATGAAGGTTTGGCTGAGAGATTTCAGGATGTTCTAAAAGCTGTCGACCAACCTCTGTATGCTGATTGTGAGGGATACTCTCAGCTATCCGCTGTTACTGAGTTCATGAACATAAAAGCTGAATACAGTCTCCCTGAAACTTGCATGAATAGAGTCTTGCAGTCAGTAGGAGGGATGCTACCGCGAGATCATACCCTTCCCGATTCATATTACCACATGAAGCAGTTAATGTCTAAGTTGGGGCTACCTTGTGTTGAAATTGATGCGTGCCCGGAAGGATGTATGTTGTTCTGGAAGGAGGATGAGGCACTTGAGTTCTGCAAGTTCTGTGGTGGAGACAGATACAAACCTGTTCGTCAAAATAAAAAGAAACCACGACATAGGTCTGCACTGTCTAAACTGTATTACCTCCCAATAGCTCCTCGACTGCAAAGGATGTACGCTTCGACTGCTACTGCGAAACACATGACATGGCATGTTGAGCACGAAACCAACGAGGGTATGATGGCTCACCCTTCGGACTGTGAAGCCTGGAGACACTTTGACCGCTGTCATCCTCAGTTTGCTATGGAGCCACGAAATGTGCGACTGGGATTGTGTTCAGATGGATTTGCTCCTTTTGGCAGGTTTGGCAAGAACTATTCATGTTGGCCGGTCATGTTAACACCTTACAATCTCCCTCCCGACATGTGCATGAAAAGTCATTTCATCTTTTTGTCTTTAATTTGTCCGGGTTCCAAGGATCCTGGGCGAAAGATAGACATTTATCTCCAACCCCTTATCGAGGAGATGAAAGAACTGTGGGCCGTTGGGACACCAACTTATGATGTTTCATCAGATAAAATGTTTATCATGAAAGCTGCCATCATTTGGACCATTAGCGACTTCCCTGCCTATGGCATGCTTTCGGGATGGAGCACACACGGTCTGATGGGATGTCCGATATGCATGGAGAAATCAGGTGCCAACTGGCTCAGTTACAGCAAAAAAGGAAGTTACTTTGATTGTCACCGCAAGTTTCTCCCGGAAAGGCACCGATATCGAAAGGACAAGAAGTCTTTCATTAGAGGCAGAGCGGTTCGAGAGAGCCCACCCCCGAGATTGACCGGTGAAGAAATTTATAACCGGGTTCGACGTTTCCCTACGGCTATGGAAGAGCCAAACCAAGAGCCATATGGGTATTGTGATACCCATAAGTGGACAAAGAGGAGCATATTCTGGGAGTTGCCTTATTGGAAAAACCTTCTCATCCGTCACAATTTAGATGTCATGCACACCGAGAAGAACGTCTTTGACAATATATTTAACACGGTGATGGATTTGAAAGGCAAAACTAAAGACGGTCTTGCAGCTAGGAAAGATATGACTATTTGGTGTGATAGACCCGAACTTTCTGTTGATCTAGAATATCAGGGCAAGGAAGTTCCAAAAGCAGTCTACCAGGTCACAGAACCACAAAAGGCAGCAATATTAAAATGGCTTGCGTCTCAGAAGTTTCCCGATGGCTACTGCTCCAACTTGTCTAGATGCGTAGACATGAACAAACTTACCACGACGACGAGCATGAAAACTCACGATGCTCATGTAATAATGCAAAGACTTCTACCAATTGCACTAAAAGAGATGCTCCCTGAACACGTATGGTCCTGCATTACTGAAATCAGTTTGTTGTTTCAATCGATATGTTCCAGCGTTTTGGATGCGGCATCCCTCCGGAGACTACAAGAGTCTGTTCCCATTCTGATGTGTAATCTGGAAAAAATAATGCCACCATCGTTTTTCGATACAATGGAACATCTCATTATACATCTTCCGTATGAGGCTTTGACTGCTGGGCCCGTCTTCTATCGGTGGATGTACAGATTTGAAAGGTTAGTCACAATTTCATTTAAAAAAAGATTATTTATTTCACAATAACTATTAACATGTGTATTATTGCATTATTGCAGATTTCTAGGAGAGCTGAAAAAGAAAGTGACCAACAAGGCACACGTTGAGGCTTCAATTTGTCAAGCGTATCTTCAACAAGAAATCTCAACGTTCTCGTCTTTTTACTTCGAGCGTGAAGTCATCACCAGAAGGAAGAGACCTGCCCGGAACGATGACATTGGCGAGGATTTATATGAAAATGTAGTTTCCATCTTCAATTACCCAGGCAGAGGTAAAGGTGCTGCGACACAACGATACATCCTGGGTGGGGAATTGCAAATTGCGCATACTTATATCCTCATGAATTGTCCAGAAATCTCACCGTTTTATCAGTAAGTTAAATTTGTAGTTATAATTGTAATACTTATAAATTAAATTTGTAGTTAATTTATAGTTTTTTTTTTTATTTTTGACTTCACAGTGAATTCCGAGCTTCTTTATCAGCCTTTCCTGAGAATGAAATAGATGCGTTGGTGGACTCTGATTTTGTAAATTGGTACAAGTATCAGGTATATATACACACACATTAATTATATATATTACCTAATGTTTACCTAATGTTATTATTATGTTTATATTTACAGATCAATAGTCGTGGGATTGTCGACCCTTTGTTAGTATCATTAGCGTAGGGCCCAGGTGCCAGTGCCAAAGTGTGGCGGCAATATGTGATAAACGGTTACACATATCACACAGCCGATTACGGAGAGGGCCGACCAACAACGAACAGCGGGTTATGTGTCCCGACCATCGGTTATGATAACTCGGAAACCAGTTTTTTTGGTGTCCTGCAGGAGATTCTGGAACTTGAGATGCCTTCTTGTGCGAAAAAATTGACATGCGTTCTGTTCCGTTGCACATGGGTCGACCCCACACGTGGCGTGCGCAAAAATCCCAAGTATAATATTATTGACGTCAACCTCTCTCGTGTGTACCCAAAAAATGAGCCCTTCATACTCGCCCAACAAGCAGCGCAGATTTATTATGCAGAATATCCTTCAACAAGGCGGACACAGAATCCTTGGGTATGTGCATGTCCTGTCCGTCCGAACAAAATAAAATCACAAACTCAACACAAGGACGTTGATCTAGATGCTTTTCAGCAACAATTTTTCCAACCTCCGCCTATTGTTGAGACGGTCAACTATAACGTTCAATTAAGTGATCCAAATGGCGGACGTGTTGAAGTCATGCCAGAAACGCACCTTCCGGACCCAACCATTCCATCTGAGCGCGAAATTGAGGAAATGTATGTAGCACAACAAAATGCTCAATATCAGGAAGAAGGTGAATGGATAGACGGTTCAGATACAGAAGAAGATACTGTATATGTAGAAAATGACGATTCTGATAGCGAATAATTGTGCTGTTGTAATTTCAATTTTATTGACTTCTAATATTTGTGCACATTTCTTCATCATTATATTACTCCAACAATATTTGAATTTTTTTCTATCTTTATCATTATTTATTATGAACAAAAAATTACTCCATATTAATTCAACCACAACAAGTTTTTTATATCCATATCATAAATTCAAAATAAAATTTTTCACAATTCGAAGTTTGAAAATTAAAATTTACCCAATACAAAATATGAAATTACTCTATATTATATTCTTTTATTTTCAAATTCAAAAATTCAAATATTATTTTTGATTTTTCTAAATTCGAAAATTTAGAAAAATTATTTTTAGTAATTCGAAATTCGAAAATTAATTTTAATAATTCTAAGTCTATTCGAAAATTAACAAAATTCGAAAATTAAAAAAACAGTAATCTACTTTTACTAATCTGAATATTATAATAAATTTAGATATTAATAAACAACTAACAGATATTTATTTATCAAATTTCAAAGATAAATACAAAACACACAATGAAATTGTCACATATTATTTATTAAACAACTAACATAAATTTATTTATCACATTAGCCTAACTAACATTATTCATTCCTCAATCGGAAACTTTCAAGAGGCCTAGCCCACAACTCCTGAATTTTCATTCGAGCTTCTTCGTTGATCGGGTCCATATACTCTGAAACTTCTTGTGCACGTTGAAGCATCCGACACAAATTTCTTGCTTTTGACTTGCCCAACGAGTCGGATTCTTCATCTTTATAATCGCCAAAACTTTCAAGGGGTCTAGACATCAACTCCTTGATTCTCTCGTATGCTTCCACGGTTTTCGGCTCCATAAGCTCTGTAATCAGCTTAAGTCGTATCATACCTCTACACATCGAATCCCAGTCAATTGGATCTCTATTAGCCATTTTTTTTTACAGTTCAGTCTTGGGCCGGAGAAAGATGATTTATACTAAAAAATTTCAAGTTGTCACGGTTTTAGTCACGGACAGGACCGTGACTAAACCCTTCGTAAATGCCGAAGTCAGTCCGCCGGTCAGAGCGGCGCTGACAATAATAGTCACGGTCAGACCCGTGACTATGACCGTGACTATTTTCAAATTTTGAAAATAGTCACGGTCATAGTCACGGGTCTGACCGTGACTATTCCGATTAAAAGGCGTCTCTGACCGGCGGACTGACTTCGTCAATTACGAAGGGTTTAGTCACGGTCCGGACCGTGACTATGACCGTGACTAAACCCTTATATAAAATAACCCCTTAGCGTTTTTTTAAAAAATCCGACGCACCCAACTCCCAAACCCTAAACAACCTCTTCCTTCTCTCTTCCCTCTCTTCCAGTTTAGACAGTGCCGCCGCCGCCTAGCCGTCCGCCGTCAGCCGCCTAGCTGTCCGCCGTCGCCGCCTAGCTGCCGCCGTCAACGCCTAGCCGTCCGCCGTCGTCCTCCGGCGTCCTCCGGCCACCTTCTTCCGTCGACCCTTCTTCAGTCAAGGTTATGTGTTCTGTTCTTCTTATTTTGTAATATTTGATTAAACTTCCAAAAATGCATGATTGTATACTTAAATGCATGATAAGATGCATGATTTTTAGTTTCATATCATTTTGTAATCTTCAAAAGTTGTATGTATGATTTATTATATGCATGATTTGTAGTTTTGCATGATTATTTCGTTTTATATGTTTCGTATGCATGATTAATATATGTTCAAATGTAGATTATTTTATGTTTAATATATGTTCATATGCATGATTAATATATTTTCGAACTAATGCGTGCTTATACAATTAGTAACATGTTAAACATATATGTTTAGTGTTTGATTTGCATGCCTTTCTATACACATGCACTACTTTAAATTTTATTTCCGAAAATATTTAATTTAGGTTAATATTTAAAAAAAACTGTTTAAATAAATAGCCCCTCGTGTTAAATTTCCAAAAATAGTTTAACACGTTTAAATATAATTTCCGTAATATCCATTAACAAAATATTAAACATTTAAATTCAATCCCGAAAAAAACTGGACGAAACATTGTTTTTATAATTTATCTAAAAAAATCTGTTTTTATAAAAAGTGTTTTTATAAAAACTGTTAATTAAAAACTGTTTTATTAAACAGATTTTTTTAAAAAACAGTTTTTGTAAAAACTGTTTTAATAAAAAGTGTTTTTATAAAAACTGTGTTTATAAAAACTGTTTTTATACAAACAGTTTTTATATAAACTGTTTTTATAATTAATCTAATAAAAACTGTTTTTATAAAAACTGTTTTTAATAAAAACTGTTTTTAATAAAAACTGTTTTTAATAAAAACTGTTTTTAATAAAAACTGTTTTTATACAAACTGTTTTTATAATTAATCTAATAAAAACTGTTTTTATAAAAACTGTTTTTATACAAACTGTTTTTATATAAACTGTTTTTATAATTAATCTAATAAAAACTGTTTTTATAAAAACTGTTTTAAATAAAAACTGTTTTTATACAAACTGTTTCAATATAAACTGTTTTTATAATTTATCTAAAAAAACTGTTTTTACAAAAATTGATATATATAAACTGTTTTATATAAAATGTTTTATTAAACAGATTATTGTAAAAAACAGTTTTTATAAAAACTGTTTTAATAAAAAGTGTTTTTATGAAAACTGTTTTTATTAAAACTGTGTTTATAAAAACTGTTTTTATACAAACTGTTTTTATATAAACTGTTTTTAAAATTAATCTAATAAAAACTGTTTTTAATAAAAACTGTTTTTATACAAACTGTTTTAATATAAACTGTTTGTATAATTTATCTAAAAAAACCGGTTTTACAAAAATTGATATATACAAACTGTTTTATATAAAATGTTTTATTAAACAGATTTTTGTAAAAAACAGTTTTTTAAAAACTGTTTTAATATAAAGTGTTTTTATAAAAACTGTATTTATAATAACTGTTTTTATAAAAACTGTTTTAATAACAAACTGTTTTAAATTTATTTTAAAATGATATATCTAAAACATAAAAAAATGATCTCCTCTCATGTAAACTTTGCAAAAAGTTTAACATGTTACCTCCAAGTGCAATTTATTAACAAATTATTTAAGAACTTATTATGAAAAAATATGGACCCCTCATATTAAACTAAAAATAGTTTAATATGCTATACACATTTTCAATTAATAATACTTGTATAAATTTTTATAGTGAAAAATAATAAATATACCCCAAACTTTAATGGACCTTTAGTAAGCACACCTCAAACTTTTATAAGCGTTCTAACAAAAAACAAAATAAATTAATATATTTTAGATGAGCAACGAACAATCGACCTCGGCTCCCCGCCCTAACCATGCGCCTATGTCCGAAGCGGAGCGCAACAATGATGGAGCTGTTTGGGTGACGCCTGCAGAAGTTCTTTTGTAAGTAGTTATGAAAAACCTTATTTTCAATAATTTTATATAATGTTAAATAATCAAACCAAATCTTATATAAATAAATACTATTAATTTTTTTAAGTGACGAACACGTGTTCACGGGCATCAAAAACATCATCGGAGGACACTTTCTTGGCACTTGGGCCACACTGTCAGATGTTGACCCCAAGGTTCGCGAACTATGGTGGAACCTGTTCAAGGTAAAAATAAATGAATGTTCCCTTCCTGATTGTATTGGCCTAATATATACCTGGTGATTAATTAATCCAATTTGTTTTAATAAAGGCTCGCTATCGTTGGACCCACGCAAACGGTGCCGATATTCTTAAAGCCTACAATGCTAGGATTTCGACCTGGCTTCGCGCCACTTTTAAACGTGCGCGAAAAAGTGGGAAAAAGCCTAGATGGGTTTCGGATGAAGTGTGGTCCAACCTTTGTCGCCACTGGTCTTCTGATCCGAAATTCTTGGCCAGAAGTGAATCCGGTAAGAAAAACCGGATGTCCGAGAAGGCCTTGGAGATGCAGTGGCACGGAGGTCGTAAATCTCAGAATGCCCATAAAGAAACTCTTATAAGTGCTATTCAAAAAACCTTACAACATCACATTCCTTCATTATAAAAAATTTAATTTAAGTATTTTTCACACCATTTAGGCTGGTCCTGAGAAGAAGAAGGTTGATGTTCTCCGGCTCGTCAAGCATTGCTGGACGAAGCACGGCGAGGAATCTGAAGCCGATTTGCCACCCCGCCTCGCCGACTTCGAAGTATGTAACATCATATTTTGTTATTTAGTAACATTTCAAATCTAAGTATGTAGCATTTAAAAAATCTTTTTGAAAATGCAGACGAAGTACAACGAATCCCTCGACAGGCAGCGTGCGGCACGAGGCTTGACCCAGGAGGACGACCTCGATTCCGATGCGGATGATGAGGCGGCCATTGAGGCGGCCGGGGTTTACAAGGGCCGGGTTCCGTGCTTGGGGGCTGAGGGGCAACGGATTTTGTATGATCGAAGCACCGGCGCTTCCTCTTCTCGGTCAAGGCGGGGAGAAGATCCCCGTATTGCCACAATGCAGCGTGAACTGGAGGAGCACGAACGGCGATGGGAGGAGCAGCGGAAAAGAGAGGAAGAAACAAAAGCCCGACTGGAGGAGATGGAACGGTACATGCGTGCCGGATTCCAGCCTCCGCAACAGCCTTTTCCTCCCCCGTACGTATTCCACCCTGAGCAAACTCCTCATGTTCCGCACATGGGCGGTATGGGATTTTTCCCCAACTCCGGATATGGTGGCATGCCTATGATCTCCCCGAATTTCGGTTCTATGTCCTTTGATTTTGCGAGGTCATCCGGAGGAGGTAGTGGCACACCGAGCCACGGAGGCCGAGGAGCACCCCGAGGAGGACCCCGAGGAGCACCCCGAGGAGGAACCCGACCTGACCCTGAAGACCCCCCCGTGAACCCAGATGAGTTTCTTGTTGATGATGAAGAAGAAGAAGAAGAAGAAGAAAATCCCAATTTTTATCATAATGGAGTCCCACGGGACATGTAATCATCATACATTTATTATTTGTTGTATTTCAAAACTTTTAAAAGTTTGTCACAATATTTATTGAATTTGTTGTATGTCTTTACTCTTAAAATGTATTTATTTTAAAAAAAATAGTATAATATTTTCAATAACTCATTTTTCAAAAAACATTTTGAAATTTAATTTGTAAACTTCCGTTTTTAAAAAAGTAATTTTTAAAAAAATTAAAAAAAAAACGAAAACTGGATTTTTTTTTTAAAAAACAAAAAAAGTAGTCACGGGCTTATCCGTGACTATTATTAATCCGAAATTATTATTTTTTTAAATAAAAAACAAATTAGTCACGGTCGACAACCGTGACTAAATTCAAAAATTTAAATTACCGCCGCGGGCGGTCTTTTAAAAATTTTAAAAATTTGAAAGATTAGTCACGGTCCAAAGCCGTGACTACAAAAATTAATTTTTAAAAAAACTTAGTCACGGTATCTGACCGTGACTAATACGCCGGAGGGGGGTTCCGGCGGGTATTATAGTCACGGTATCTGACCGTGACTAGTCCGTGACTAAATTTAGTCACGGTTTGTTGGACGTGACTTCAATTTAGTCACGCCCATTAAGTCACGGATTTAGTCACGGCCAGCGACCGTGACTACATCATTTAGTCACGGAAAAATTGAACTGCTGTCCGTGACTAAGTCCGTGACTACGACCGTGTTTTTTTGTAGTGTTGGCTAGTTATAAAAATACAAAGAAACCACACCAGACCAGTTCAGACCAGACCAGATCAGACCAGACCAGCAAACGACCTCATAGTGTCTTATTTAATTTCAAATCTGGAGATAAAAATCCAGAGCAAAAAAGCTAAACTTGGTTCGGTAATTATTAGTCTGGCCTTATTTTCTTAATCTTTTATTCAATTAACATTAGTTCGGAAAAAATTCAAAATATTTTCTATTAATAAAATGAATAAAAATAACTAAAATATACATCTATACATTCTATAGTAACTTCAGCCAGTGCAGTCAGAAAAGTAATTTCAACTTTACTTATTTTGATTATTAAACAATAAACATATAAAATCAAAAGTTTCGTGTTTGATGAAAAAATTAGTTGATAATAGTGATAAGTCGAAAAAAAGAGTTCCCAAACGGGTTCCATATGCGCTTCAGATTTTTTTAAATTACATATGCAACATTGGTGTCAAATGAAAGCTAAAAAATGAGGAATTGTGATATATATTTTATACAAAATGGAGCAAAAATGAAAAAGTTATAGCTATTTAAAGGAAAAAATGGTTTTTATAATTTGGAGGACTCATTAACTGCTACGTTCCTGGTTTGTTGTTTAGTACGGAGTATTCGTATGTTGAGATCACCGTTAGTCGGGGCTTTATACGGAGTATTAACTAGGGTAGCAGTAGATTGGGTATTATTATTAACCCAACCTTAGATTGGTAAATATTTTTTTAATTAGCATTAATTAAGAAAATATCTCTGAGATGGAAGCTGCACCAGCGGCGGTTGATCCAAGTGCATGCAACACCGGTGGTTTAATTTGGAGTTTGGTGAAAGGGGCGAATTTGAGTTCCAATCGACTGTTTAGGGGATCGGCGTGATTGTTTTAGACAATTCAGTGGGTGGCTGTCTGGGGTTGAATTGGTTGTTGGCCGTGAAGGGTAGAGATCGTCTAGCAATGGTTAGACTGCTGATGTGTGACATGGACAATTCAAGATTCAAGTGATGGAGGAAGAAGATGAAGTGTTGATGATACGTCCCCTTCCTGAATCCCCATCATGGAGGAATTGTACGTGTGACTAGAGTATGGATTGAACTGCTCCAACAATTTATCTTATTTAATTCCGTTTTACTCAATTTTAGTTTTTTCATTATGAACTCTGTTGTTATTTCGAACACGGGGGGGGGGGGGGGGGGGGGGTAGTGTTGTTGTTTGGTTTATTTTATTAGATAAGTTTCTATTGGGAGGCAATCTTGTTGCTTCAACCGCTAATATAATAACCTCGAAACTTTCACATGTTCAGCGATTAGTCTCGCTCTTTTTTGGATGAACTATTCTATGCTCTCGATAAGTGAGTAAGGGGTCAGTGGGCTTTCAGGAGTTTAGAGGGGATATGTACTTTCAGTGTTGTTGGATGAATGATTTTCTCATTTATTAATACTACCTCCGTTCTCTTTTAGTTGCAACATTGGACTTTTTGCACTATTCACATGTTCTACTTTGACTACATTTTATTAATTGCTGTATAATAAATTAAATTTTTAAAAAATATTGTTAAATTCTTCTTATTCTAAATTTTCAAAATTTGATTTTTTTTTAATTTTTTACTAATAAGGAATGAACGATATTAATGGTCAAACTTCTGTGTTGGCAAACGTGAAATGTTGACTGTTGCAATTAAAAAGGAACGGAGGAAGTATAAGCTATCTTTTGCCAAAAAAGGAGATAGTACAAAGAAAGAAGTTAACGGTAATTCCGATTTTTTAAAGTGTTCAAAAAATTAAAAGAAAAATGCTTGGTGGCGCCTCATTAAGACAACCTCCAAACAATCTTTCTTATTTGTTTTCAGTTACTCTTATCGGCTTATCGCTGGAAAAAATGACATTAAAGAAATCTTTTAAAATAAAAATCAAAAGGAGCCGGAAAAAAAGTACGTAAGATGTTTAGGATGTCACTTTGTACTTTTGTACTTATATGATGTGTGATTGCTTAGTACGGTAAATTAGTTCAACTATTTTGCTTTTTATGGAGAAGAAAAAAGCTCATTCAAAATTGTATTTACAAAATATCATCTTTAAAATACTATTATTATTCCAATATAAGCCAAGAACGTCCCTAACTAAGGTTGAATCTTATTCTTTTTTTAAAGGAAAACTGAGATATTAAATTAAATCAAACTTTGAGTGTCTAATACAATACAATCAAGAGAATTACAAACAATATAATAATCATCCGAAACTAGCCTCCCTAGCTCTAATCAACAATAACCATAAGCCCACCGGCCCGGCCCCTCACTCCTTGATCAGACATAGAGTGGTCCACCTCAAAAAGAGCGAGATTAATCACATAACATGTGAGAACTTCGAGGTTATTAGCAGTTGAGTCGTCCTAATTGGGAATCGGAAACCCAATGGAACGATAAAAAAGACAAGAGACGCCGAGGAGGCGAAGAAAAGAAGTAGAGTAGCTTGGGGCTCCAAGATCATTCCCGGAGAAGCAACCATGGGGGAGGAGGTTCGTCCAGGCCTCACACTTTGGGGCCACCAAAATGTTCAAACTGTTCGAAACAACACTTCAGGAAATGTAATGAACTTCCGACCTGCTTCAAGTGTGGAAATACAGGCCAAATGAAAGCAAATTGTCACCAACAAGGAGAAGCTTCGGGAGCCGAAGGAGGAGTCACGACATGTAGAAACCGCGTAGGACCATCACACAACGGCACAGGAAGAGGTGACACAACGACAAGAAATGGCGTGTCTGTCAACCAAGGTGGGGCCCATGCAAGGGTCTATGCAATGACCGAGGCTAATGCTCGGGCTAACCCGTACTCCGTTGCAGGTAACTCCTTGTTACATTGTTATTTTATGTCTTTACGTGTTAAGAGCTTTAGGGAGCAAGTACGGGCCGACCGGCGATGATGCCGTCCAATTTATAAGCAAATGATCTTTTTGGGGATGGCCAGGAGTGAACTAGCATCAGGTAAGTCCCAAACCGGCGCCAATCCTATTTAAAATATATTATTTCTGTAACCCGTAGGTTAATCGGCGCTGGTCAGGCCCAGAACCGGCACTGGTCCAAAGTAAAAACGTCTGGACAGTTTCGTTTAAGCTCATTTCGAAGTGATACGTTAAGGGGTGTGTCTTATATGGCTTATAAATGTGGGAGCATTAAGGATCAATGGATGGAAAGAGAGAATCCTCATTGAAACCAGAGTACAACATTTATTTGTGAGTGAAGTGTTCGTCGAGGGGTTAGACGTACCATTGACGCTAACG